TGTTTTTCAGCTGAGGCGACTGTCTACGCTGAAGCCCATACTGTCCAAAAAGAATCTTGAGACAGTGATCCACGCGTTCATAACATCCAGGCTCGATTACTGCAATGCGCTTCTGTTTGGAATCAGTCAATCCTCCATTGCACGGCTACAACTGGTCCAAAATGCTGCAGCCCAATTTTTAACTGGTTCAGGCCATAGAGAGCACATTACACCAGTTTTGGCCTCCCTGCACTGGCTACCCATTCACCTTCGGATCCAGTTCAAAATACTCATGTATGTTCTGCTCCATCTTATTTTTCTGATCTTCTGCAGCCATATGTCCCACCGCGCTCTCGAGGGCAGCCGACCAGATGCTTCTTTCAGCTCCAGGAATCCGTCTTAAGCTCAGAGGTGACAGGGCTTTCTCTGTTGCAGGTCAAAGACTGTGGAATGAGTTGCCACTGCGTGACAGGCGGGCTCCCACACTCGCAGTCTTTAAGTCTCGCTTGAAAACCCACTTTTATTCCCTTGTCTTTGACACGGTGTGATTCGTTTGGATCCTGTCTGTAGTCCACAGTGTTGGCCATTTAGTTATTAGCCACTGCTATTTGCTTCTATTTTATTTTACGTTTTCCTGTCCGCTTTGCTTGTTTGTTTCTATTGTACAGCACTTTGGTTGGTCAGGTTATTGTTTTAAGTGCTCTATAAATAAATTGGTATGGTGTTTCTTAGTTATTTCTTCCAACTTTTACCCACAACTGGTAGAAAAGCTGTTCGAGTCATCAGAGTCATGTGAGTAAATACTATTTCTACTTGAAATATATCGGCAACATTGTGATCTCTGATGCAGACAGTCTGGAATGGCGTTTGCAACGTTGTAGAATTTTTTTTTAATTGTTTAAGTCTTTGAATCACCATTTGAACGTTGTGGTGGTCTGGCTTATGCGTTGGTTGTTTATATTAGAAGGTACAATGCAAACAGATGTGAGCTGGTAAACATCATGCTGAAGCCACTCAGACCTAGTGACAAAATCTTTGTTCATCGGTGAAGTGCTTTATGCTATTTAAAGCAGGTATTCTAAAAATGAATCAACGTTGTTGCGCATGGCCTCCTCTTGGCGTACCAAAAAAAAAAAAAAAAAAAAAAAAAAAAGCAGCACGCTCATATAGTGGCTCAACCAGTTTGCTGGTGATAAGATGGTTTCTGGAGCCCGCCCTCTCCCCTGTTGACTCCTCTGAGGCAGCTATGGTTAATGTGGTTCAAAACATCAAAGTGCATGCTCAATAATCCACTATGGCCCACAATGCGAGTGTGCTGCTTGTGGGACTGAGTTTGTTGTGGCTGCTCGGACTGATGAAGTCCTTTGGATGAATGATGAAACCTAACAAAAACAACAAAAAGAAACCATCCAGATGACCAGACTTAAATTTGTTGGATTTTTGACCTGAATTATTGAGCATGAATTTTGATATTTATTATACTATTATTAATGCTGAAAACTCAAATGAATGAAACTGAAATGTCACAATTATCAGTGTTTTTATTTTTCAAGGCCACAGTTCCCTAAAAAAAACCCAACAACCCTGCTTGGAGTCAGAATGTCTACCACTGTTATAAGAACATGCTCATCTGTAAAAGCAACACCCAGCCATGAACACGTTTCAGCTGGGTGTGTGCTGTGAGCGTGTGTGCGCACTCTGGTTTATACATCAGATGTAAAAAAACACATTATCAAAAAAAAATTACTGAAAGATTAACATATGACGCAGCTATTATTTTCTTTAATACTCTGAAAACGGTGCATTTGGATGTGCATTCCCTTTAGCATCCTCCTGGGGGTGCTGTAGCACCATCAGCACCCCAATGTCCCATGGCCTGAGTCAACACCCGTCATCGTGTGTAATGTTTAGTTAAATTGTTCTAATAAATCTCCCTCTCATTAATTTCGTTGTTTTACGTGCTAACACAAACAGGTTTTTGTATCTTTATTGGTTGAACTAGATGTAAAAAAAAAAAAAAAATACCTAAATGGTGACTGTCTTTTACTTTCCGTGCTCTGCTCTTCCACTTCAACCTCATAGATCACCAGATCTCCATCTGCCTAAATACAAAAGCAAATTATTCAGTTTTTAATAGAAAAAAAGTACTTTAAAATCTAATTTTGATGACACAGAAGGGACCAACTTTCAAAAAGTACAAGTTTTATAAAAAATAAAAATTAAATAAAAACTTGTTTAAACTGTCAGGAGTGTTGTTCAAGCCGACACCGCATTCAGATTAATCCCAATTTTAAAAAATAAAAATCAATTATTTGCTTTACCTTCATCTTCGCCCCACAGTCCATGACTCCTATCTTGAAGATGGCCGTCTCTGGGGTTGAGACTGCAGGTAAACAATGAGGCTGATCTTTGATGACGAGGCTGCTAGGATCAATGGGTGGGTGCGTGTCTGTGGCCTTCACGGAGAACACAAAATGTCCATCCAGAGAGCAAGCTGGACACAGTCACGAAACAAGAAAGCGAGGTTTGCTGAGGAAACATTTGAGAAGGTAGACTTTGCTTGTGAGCCCAACCAGCAAACACCTGCTCATCTTACCATTGAGTCGATAATAGCAGTTTGCAGCACGAAAGTCGTAACAGCATCCCAGTTTGATGCAGGAGTCACTGGAGATGCTCCGGTGGCCGCAGTCTATCCGGAGAGATTTGTCGGTGTCACAGTCTCCAGGGAATGCTGCGCGTTGGCAACCGGACACAGAAACGTTTGTCATGATGACATTAGAAGTCACTTGTGACAGCAGCAAATATATTTATCTGATGATAAGTTGAACACAAAGATGTCCAAATAAAAGACAATATAAAATAAGAAGGTGCGACTCACGTGTTGGCTGACTCTTCTGATTTCTTCTTTTTACCAGAGGACAGCTGATGTTTACTCTGATCCACCGATCCTCTCCGGTGGTCAGTTGAGCCAGCAAAGAGACGACCACTCTGCTGCCCTGAGGACACAAAGTGGATGTTGAAGTCCCATTTAGACCAATAAAACCCACACACACACACCCCCATACAGGTTAATGCATATTACCTATACACATATCTAATCATACAATATGCAACCAGTTCATTTTTATTGTTTGATTAATGTTTGAAAATATTTTTCCAAAACATTTCTAATGAAATAAGTATTATTTAAATGAATGTATATCACCCGCTGACTTACATGCTAAAGATTGAAACAAAGATTTCCCATGACTCATCAATCAAAGTGTGTGATGGGGATGATTCTCGACTACTACCACACCAAACGTTAGCTCAGTATCTGTAAAACTGGCTTCTCTGCTGGATTAGCTTTATTCATGTTGACTCCAAATGTTAAATCAGTTGATGTACAGCTAATGATTAATTTCTGAAAACGTCATTAAAACTTGTCCAACGTTCATGAGATAAATTGTTAAACTAATGAGACCACAGAATATGGGGTGCCGTTTGTAAAGTTACACAGTCAAAAATAAAACAGCATAATTTTAGTTTATTTATTAGCCTTTCATAAGAAAAAAATATTTCCCCCCCCCCAAAAAAAATAATTTTCACCACGTTATTCATACATACGTTATTCATAAATGTCATAGTTCCTACTAAATATTTAATTTACAAGTTAAATACTTAGTTTACAAACTAAATACTTAACTTG